AATGTTTTCAATTGTTATCTTATTATTAATTTTAGTTCAATTTTATTTAGTAAAAAAAAAATATATATATAAATTTTAATTATTTCTGAAATTTGTTGTTGAATAATTATTGTTTATAAATCGTTATTGAATAAAAAATAATGATTTTTTTTTATTTTTAAAAATTTCTGGAGTAAACAAAAAATATTAACATTGATAAACAAAAACCTATGTTAATTATTTAAACAGCGATTTAAACAGCGAAAAAATATTTTTTTAAATTTATCTTGCTTAGCGTTTCAACTTGCGTTATATAAAAATATAAAAACGTTTTGTCTGCTTTTAGCATATTTTTGATACATAGTTTAGAACGCGTTCGCCAGGAATTTAATTCATAAATTTTTTATGTTATTGTAAAAAAATGTTTTACATTTTAAACAAATCACAAAGAAATAGAGCTTTAGAGAAAAATTGTTTTTAACGATTAAATCTTTTTTTTTTTTAAATTTTAGGAAATTAAAAAAAAATTAAATTAAGTATAAAAGTCTTAATTATGCAAACTCTTTTGTTAATTATTCTTAAAACAAAAAACAAATACTTCTCCGCAAAACTTTAATCGTGCAAACTTAAAAAAATACTCAACTAAAATAATATAAGTATATTTAATAATTTGAATCGTATCTGTTTATAATAAACGTTCGTAAAAATTTGTTTATTAAAAATTATGTTCCTTAACTTATAAACAAACTCAAAAGTATTTTCATTCTACGTATAATTACAAAAAAAAAAAAGCTCTTTTTTTTCTTCGTTTGTAAGCTATTTAAGTTAATAAAATAAAAAAAGAATAAATATGAGGTAATCTTTGTTAAGAACAAATTTAATTTATTTATTAAACTAATTTTTTATTTTTATTTATATATCAACTTAAATTAAATATAGTAACATGTTAAAATATTTTAACATGACTTGTGTTATTTATAAACCGTAGGGCAGCTGCCCTTATGGCACAATTGTTTTAGGATTATATTTTATTTTGATGAAGATCACATAACTTACATTTGATTTTAATAACGTAAGTCTTCTCTTTTTCTATGATCATCGCATCGGCAAAGCATTGGCAAAGTCCCAAGATTTAAAAGTTTTTAAAGGAAATCTTTTGTCCTTCAAAATACAATCCATATTCGAACTTTAAACAATAGATAATAGAAATATAAAAGGTTTTTATATACTAGTTTGTCTTGTTTTATAAAGAAAAATACATATTCATTAATAAAAAATAGAGACTGTCATTAAACTAAAACGTGCCTTAGTATTTATTTAACGGAATCTGTAATGTGCGCGTGCATAATGAAACCTCCATTATATAAATATATTCAACGTAATATTAGTGTCATCAGCGAATGTTATAGTCTACTCGTGATTTCTTTACCTTATAATATAACTTGATCTATGAAAAAAATTTATTGAATTGCACGCAGAAGAAATTTAACAAATTGTCTTCATTCAAAATTTGCGAGTAACAGGTAACTTTTTTTTTATGTGCTGGCCCCCTCCCCCCGCATAACTTAAAAGCAAAGGTATCTATATACCTTTAAATAATAAGAAAAGCAAAGAGTAATAATTAATGAAGTAATTTTTAGAAAAATACAAATAGATTGTTTATTCATTAGCACATTTTTTTTAATATCTTGAAAAAATGTCTTGATATTTTTGTTATCATGATAACAAAAATATTAAGACGTTTTTTGATATATTAAAAATATGTCAACCCTTAATTACAAATTTTTTGCAAATGTGTTTTAATATGAATTTAGTAAAAAACTCTTAAAAAATTTTTATTACAAAAAACATTTATATTCTGTATTAATAAGTTTGGAATATAGATTTTTTAAAAGTTTTTTACTAAAAACTTTAAAAAGTTACTACTTTTTATTAAAAACATTCGCAAAAAATTTGTAGTTAAAGATTGGCGAACAATTTTTCATGTTACTAAATATTTGAATAAAAAGTTAAGCATAAAATTAGATGTTATAAAAACGTACGATATGTCGCGATAAAAAGTTATTTCGATTATTTTTAACATAATTTTTATTTTCTAATAAATATTTTTACATATTGTTATTCAAAAGTTAATGTGGTTTTTTTAAAATTAATTACTTCTTTTATGTTACCGCTAATTTAAAAGTTAAAAAATGATAAAAAGTAGCTTAACCAAAACAGCTCTTCGCGTACGTAAAAATAAATTGTAAATTAGTAGAAAATCACCTAACAAATTTTTTATTTTATTTTACACTGTGTTTCATCAATAAAGTCTCATCAAAAAAAAAAATATTTTTAGGCATGGACTAAAACCACCATCAAAACACTATTGCCAATATAAACTTAAAACCATATATAAATGCTCTGAAATAAAAGATATTGACCTTTACCTTTTTAGTGCTCATTTTTATAATGCTATAAAAAAATGTGACCAAGATAAATTTATATTAAAGTTTTTGTCTGTTCAGAAAAAACAACGATATAGAAAAAAAAGAGCAATTTTATACTAAAAAAATTAGGAACAGGTCTAATTGTGAAACTAGTTATTTTATGGAAAAAGAAAACAGACAAATAGTGCATGTTTGCAAAGACACTTTTTTAACATGCTTACATGTTGGTAAAACTCGTGTTCAAAGCATTGCAAAACATTTCTTTACTCATTGTAATCCTAGAAAAGAAAACAGAGGTGGTGATTAAAAAAGCCATAAATTCAAGGATAAGCGAAAGGCTGTGATAGAATTTATAAAGAGTCTTCCTGGAAAGGAAAGTCATTACAGCAAAGGGAAGTCTATAAAACTTTATCTACCATCAGAGCTTAAAAGTATTAAAACAGTATGGAAATTATATGCAGAAGAAGAACCCAATCTACCAGTGAAATGAATTTTTCAGAAAAAAATTTATGCTTAACTTTAATTTAGGGTTTGGTTCTCCTAAATCAGATGCATGTTTATTTTGTGAAAGAATTCGAAACCAAATGCAGATTGAAAATGACTCAGAAAAGAAGAACAGTTTAATTACTGATTTAGTTGTTTATAAGCATAGAGGAAATTGTTTATAAGCATAGAGCAAATGCATTCTATGATCTTTTAAAAGAAAAAAAAGATAGTTTAAAAATTATTTGCTTTGACCATCAACAAAACCAAGTCATCCCTAAAGTTCCAGATCAGCAAGCTTATTATAGTAGACAACTATACATATACAACTTTTATGGTATAAAAAATAAAAATAACGGATCTTTAAATCAAGATAATGTCACTATCTATACTTGGAATGAAAGCAATTTCAAAAAAGAATAGTTCTTCTTTCCAGTGCAGTATTTGACAAGCTCTGCAATACAAACATGGATGGCATAGACACTGTTCATTTAGTTTCTGATGCATGTGGTGGTCAAAATAAAAAAATTTGCTTTAATTTATATGGTTGGCTTCTGGCTGTTAAGACATGCACCGATATTAGTAAAATATTGCTGCATGTCTTAACAGAAAAATATTGCTGCATGTCTTAACAATATATATTCTCCAGAAGAGTACTATAATGTTTACAGTACGCAGGGAACAGTGAAAATTGCAGGAAAAGACTGGAATGTGTTGGATTTCAAATCAGTACCTTTAAGAGTTTTTAAAAAACCATTGCCAATCAAAATTCAGGATAATAAATGCTTTTTTATCACAAGAAGATCGCCTAAAAATATTAAAGTCCAAGGAGAACCAAATATTAAGTTTTTTCTTAACAGTCCTTAAATTATAACTAAAAGAGGCCATGATTGTTTATCTTGTCCATCTCAGATCCAGAAAGGAGTCCCAGTTGCAGAGGTTAAAAAGAAAAATATCAAAAGTTTGATTCTTGTGCATGCAAGAGTAAATTGGGAGCAAGATAGTTGTTTTAATTTTTTAAAACGTTTTGTGAATGATTCTTTATAATAAAAAAACGTGTAGAAGACGAGGAAGATACTAAATGCAGCTGTATTGATGAAGATGCTGTATGCAGACATATTTAACTTTTTGATGTATTTATTCTTTTTAAATTTTTGTTGTATTAAAGATCAATTTCTTAATAAAAAACTAGGTTTTTATTGTAGTCTTTTCTTAATTCCCTATGTTTTAAATTTCCTTTTCAATACCTTTTTTATAATATAGTTATAAAGAAGTTTATAGTTCGTGTAAATTAAATCCTTCAAAACATTTTAATTAGTTTTAATAAGCAAATGATCCATCTGAATTCAACCAAACATTTTCAAAATAATCTAAGTACATCTGAAATATTCAAATTAAGCTAAGTCCGAATTTCAACAAGGTTTATTTCGAGATTCTAAAGAGTTGCATTTTTTTTTTGTGCACGTTATTTAATTGTCTCTACTTGATAGTGTAAAATTTTTTAAATTACGTAAATTTAAATTAGTGTAAATTTAACAAACACAATTTTTTTGGAGCGCTAATTAAGCCTGGGCACGTTTTCCTTTGATTTCTCAAAATCAAATTACTTATGGCGTTTTGCAAATGGGTTCCTCAATTGTTAAAAAAAAAACTATATATAAGCATTTAGTTCTGTTTTTACTTTTTTAGAACTTTTAGTTTCATATTTCTTATTTTCTCAGTACTTATTTCATAGATTTCATATCTATATTGTTTAAAACCACTTATTTAAGTAATATTAATTATTTTTAGCAAAAAGTTTAAAAGAAATTAACTTTGTTGAACCATAAAAGTTTTATAACTTTTGTAGCATTTCCACATAAAATATTGTAAAGAAAATAATTTTTTTGCATTTGAATTCAATTCAGTTTGTTAATAAAATGTCATTTAATGTTATTTAAATAAAATTTTTATTGTCAATTAATACTATTGCTAGTAATAAAAGATTAGCTAACAAGAACTATACATTGTTTTTTATTTGTTCTTTTATCCCGTTTTTGTGTTCCTTTGCTCAAAAACAATGGTTTTTTAATGAAATTAAAAAGTTTATAATAAAATTGAATCATTTAGAAACTTTGAGTTCACCAGAAAGTTCTTCTAGAACTTCTTCTAAGAAAGGTAATTATAATGTGTGATTTATTTAAAATTACTCAACATTTTCTTCTGAAATGTTTTGTGCCGCAAAACATTTTTCTAATGAGAACTATACATTGTTTTTTACATTTGTTCTTTTATCCTGTTTTTGTGTTTCTTTGCTCAAAAACAATTGTTTTATATTATGAAATTAAAAAGTTTATAATAAAATTGAATCATTTAGAAACTTTGATTTCACCAGAAAGTTCTTCCAGAACTTCTTCTAAGAAAGGTAATTATAATGTTTGATTTATTTAAAATTACTCAACATTTACTTCTGAAATGTTTTGTGCTACAAAACATTTTAAATGTCAAGTACTTCGTTACAGTGTTGTACAAATAATATTTACTAATTTTTTTTTTATGCTAAATGTTTTTCTCATGTCTTTTTGAATTAAATATTTTTTTTTTGTACTTTTAACTACAAAATTTAAAATCCTAAAAATGTAACATTTTTTATGATATATATATTTTTATGTTATCCTTTTTTAGTTAGATATTAACTTTTTTTTATTATGCCCTACATGCTTAGTTTTGCTGCTTGTTTTATTTTTGTTTTAAATCAATAATTCTCTTTATGTCTTTAAATGAAGAAAATGCTTTAAAGGGATCCCAAACTCCCAACACATGTTGTGTTCATATTAAAGATAATATTAAAAAAAAAGGTTTGAACCAAATTTTTTTGATTAAAAATAAATAATGAATGCATACCGTGAAAAACAAATGTTGTTGTTTTTGCCGAAGCTCGTCTTCTCCATTTTTTTCAACTAATCGGAGTCTTCAAATTATGCGTCGCAATCTACAGACTTTGGCAATTCCTTTGAAGCGCGTTTAATTCATAAAAGTTTTAGTATTTGACGTCACGGTAGACTTTTAACAAAAGAAAAGTGTAATTAAACTAAGCTGCGTTTTTCTACTGTAGTATTTTTTTAACATACAGCAAAAGAAATTTATTTGCATTATTTTTCCAAACATCGCAAAAAAAATTTTGTAAAAAGTAAAAACAATAAATTATTTTTATTTTATAGGAGCAACTTATTTTTTACAGATATCTTAATAATTTTTAGATTTATATATCTTACTTATATTTCTTTAATTATTTTAATTAAAACAAATATTAAAGCTTTACTTACCAATCTCATGATTTTCATACGAGTATTTTACTTTATATAGAACGTTTTATATACGGTCTCTTGTTTTTGCGCAAGAGAGCGCAGTATTATATATTCTGATTCTTAATTATTTTTATTTAAACAAAGGGAACTATTTTCTAACTTCTCTGGTTATTTTTACGCTATGACAATTTTTTGTTTTCCCGTCAAAAAAAAGTATTTATTAACAATTACTTTCATAAACTGACAGTATTAATTAGAAATATTTAATGAATTGTTAACTTTTTTTATTATAAAATTTTTTTGATCACGCTGATTTAATTTAAATTGCTAAATTTGCTGAATTGGATACGGATAAAAAGGAAATACCATTTTATTTTAAATTTGATTTTTGATAATGAAATTTTCAAAGTGTCAGCAACTCTATACCAATTAGAACCTGTTGAGATTATGAAAAAAAAGTGCAAGAATACACTAAACAATACAGTTGACAGTAGTATCAGATATGAAAACTCGTGAAAGGATTTGTGAGATCCTGATTTTGCATTAAAAGTACAATTAATTGCAACACAAGTCGGCATTAGAAATTTTGATTATAAGTTTACTGCTCAATATTTTATAACCATCAAATAAAAAACATAAAGTTTGTATATTTTCGCCCGTTTTATACAACTAATATTTAACAAAAATACGGACAAATTATTATTAAATAACGCAATAATTAACACATTAATTAAAGGCAATAATTCAAGATAGATGGTAATTTAGATTGTTAAAATGTCATAACGCGAATTAAAAAACATATTATATTTGGTATTTCCAAATTTGTGTCATAATTGGTATTTATCTTTTAACATGAAAAATTAAAAAATTTTTAAAAACACAATTAACAAATACAAATTTTCAAGCAATTTTCTCTTCCAATTCTCACTTATTCAAAGAAAATTTATTATTAAACTTTTATTTCTCTCATCTAAAAAAAGAATGAGTGAAGCAAAAAAATATATATATTCTATACAACTCTTACTCATTCAAAGTTTAATTGCTTTTCTTTCTCTTTTGTTCTACTCTTTTATAAAAAGAGCGCCCGATGAAATAAAAACTTTTCTTTTTTAACATATAATTATAGTTTGAGATAAAATTAAATTAGAAATAAATCAACAATGAGCAAAGCAACGAACCGGTTAATCTGGAACTATTTTGATATTTATGAAAATATTCAACATAAACATTATTGCCAACAACAATTATCAAATAAACAACACAATCTCAAATAATTTTAGGGGCATTTTATTTTTATTGCTTAGTCGTTCTAAATAATAAGTAAATTTAGTTCAAGTTAATAATTCAATATTTACAGTTGCAATAGAATAAAGAAATGGTGTTTAATACTGAACTTTTTATTTAGTTATTTATTTTTTTACCTACATTTGTTATAAAAAACTTTAGAACCCCCGTCATTAAAATAATTTGTTTTAAATATATATTGATTTACGTGAATATTCAAACTAATTTTTTTGGTTTGACTTTCCGAACTTCATGCAAAGCAAATTGAAACGAAATATCGTCTAACCAAATAAAAAAGCTGTTACTAATTTTATACGGGTAATTAATGTAAAACAATTTTTGAGATAATTCATATAGAAAGATATATAGAGAGAGATATTTCATATAGAGAGAGATAATTGATAAAAGATAAAAGATCTCTCATATAGAGAGAGATAATTCATAGAGAAATATTCATAATTTATAAACATTAAATATATGGCGCAATAACAATTTATAGCAACGAACCAGCATAAAATATTTAAGGTTTTTAATATCTTTTTAAATATTAAAAGTAGAAAAAAAAAAAACTAAACAAATAATCAAAAAAACTTCGACTAAAAATAAATAAAAATATTTCTAGAGTTTAATTTATTAAAAGTCTACCGTGATGTCAAATACTAAAACTTTTATGAATTAAACGCGCTTCAAAGGAATTGCCAAAGTCTGTAGATTGCGACGCATAATTTGAAGACTCCGATTAGTTGAAAAAAATGGAGAAGACGAGCTTCGGCAAAAACAACAACATTTGTTTTTCACGGTATGCATTCATTATTTATTTTTAATCAAAAAAATTTGGTTCAAACCTTTTTTTTTAATATTATCTTTAATATGAACACAACATGTGTTGGGAGTTTGGGATCCCTTTAAAAGCTAGTTTAAAAGCTAGTTAAAAAATAGTTTCCTTTTTGATTTACGTTCATTACAATTTTTCAAAAAAAACAATCTTTGAGAATTCTTTTTTCTGACAAGAAAATGTTCTCAATAAAATATATAACTGTCTCCAGATAATGTTGATGCTAATAAAAATCATGGTATTAAATTATGTTTGGAAGTTTGTTCAGAAGACATGATTTTAGTTGTATTAAATAATTACACAGTAAATCATCACAATACATTAATGAAGTTCTAGATTACAGAAAATAACTTATTTAGAGATGATTGGATGTTTCAGCAAGGTGGTTACCAAACCTCATACCCAAAAAACTTTCTCCAAAATTGAGTAACAATCGTTTTTTTAGATTAATTGACAAAAATCATTGCCCAACAAATTCTCCCGACCCTTTATAAACTACTTTAAGACTAATTTGTTCACCTAATGGAGCAACTGGAGCAAAAAGTCAAAGAAAATTTTAAGTGCAGAGTTAAAGCTAGCTGTTAAACTAATTGGATCTAATATGGAAAGAAGTTGCACTGGAAACTTGTAATAAAAAACATCAGAGATTTTTGACATTAATAAACTAACTTTTAAAAGTAATTTTTTGAGAAAAAATTTAAATGAATAGAGTGAAAAACTTACTGGATTGAAAGCAAAAAAAAAAATGTTTGGTTCTTTATGTGCAACAAATTATGGGCATTTATACAAGTTAGCTTAGTTTGGTTACTTGTTCTCTCATTGTTACTGATCATTAATTTTGTTTTATTTGTCAGTAGCTCAAGAGGGGGGTTGTATCAACAGTGCTTAAAAATTTAAATTTTAAAAAATTATGTAGTGAATTTGTTTAAAAATAAATATAAATACTAGAAGAAAATACTGACTTTGCACACAAAGAGCATAACAGTAGATGTTCTTGGTTTTTAAAGTATTAGAGAAAGTTTCAGGATTTATAGCATGTACAGTTGCATGAAATGTATAAGGATTATCTATAAATTTTATCGATTTCACAGTTTAAAACGTGTTTTTAGGTCTTTTTGTTAAGTTTTTTAAAATTTTAAATTAGTTTTTTAAAATTTTAAAAACCTTTACAAAATAACTTAAAAAAGATCATAGTCATTGAACTAAACATGCAAGGTCATGTTCAGGATTCTTATTGAGTTTTTTGAGCATTTTTTACATACAATAATTAGTATCATTAGCAAAATGATGTTTTAGAAAGTTTTACACATATGCAAGCCTTCCTGGGAAGCGTGTGCAGTCTCATGCTTTGTTTGTCCACGTTTAAAGTATTTTTTTTAGACAATTTGATGTTTTTATATAATAAGCTTTTTAAGAATTTGGAAAAAATTGAAAAAAAAAACCTAAATGTTTTACTGTTTTTGTTTTCTTTTTTTTAGGGTGTTTGTTATTTTCCACTACCAAAATTAATACAAATTGAGGAAAAAGCAGATAAGAATATAACAAAAATAAAAACATTCTTTGATATACAATTTATTTGTGGCTTTTGTTAGTCAGCATATTAAATAAATTATTTGTACTAGAAATATGGACAAATTTAAAGTTTTTTTCAAAAATGTTTTTGCTAAATTTTACTGTTTTTATCAATAAAAGCAGGAAAGCAAGAAAACTAAATGCTATTTATTTGTAAAAAATATTTTTTTAATTTTTTAACAAGTTTGTCATGTAAAAAAAAAAAAAGTCATTAATTCTAATATTCAAATATAAAATATTTGCTTGTTTTCACTACCCCCATTGAAATTGTCTGCACTTTTGTTGGACTCTCCAAATTGTGCATTTAAACCCAATAGTTTTTTTCCTGATGAACTATTGTTATTAGCGATGCTCCATGCTCCTAAACAAACAATCATGTTCATTATCTCTAGTATTTTGTATTAGTTTTAAATAATTTGGCAATAT